AAACTCTGTAAAAACAGATGCACATTTCGTCAAATGAAATTGATCCAGACCTCGTCAATTTTGTTTCAACCTGATCGGACTTCTTCTTTTCATATTAGTCGTTTCCATTACATCCATGACGTCGATCTATTTTATTCTCTTTACATTTAATTGTATACTTCATCCTATCCGATACTGGAGACTTGATTTCCTTCTCATCAGTTTGTTTAAACTCGGCACAATGTTTCAATTCAATTCCATTTCCAGAGCTACTACGATGGATGTCGCTACTGACCTGCCTGTTCCGGAGCACTGCTAATGGTAAACGGGTGCCATTCGTTCATTGCTATTTCAGGAATCTTGATAAAAACGTAGTCCCCTGCTTTGTACTTGAAGTGACGCGGCTTGGTCATGACCAAATGTGTCACCTGAAAAGAAAAGACACGGTACATTCCAAATCAAACTGTATGAAATCAATGCATGTCTTCTTGAGCTAAAATGTGATTTAATCAGGTTAGATTTAACAGGAGGATAATTACACGAGGTTGAACAACACGAGCCTCCAAATCTTGTGACATTTAGAGGGACATGTGGACTAGTGATAAGGGTTTGTGGCTCCCTGTGGTGGCTCCTAACCACGGCGTTGGGGTTAGCATCAAGCCGCTGCTGAGCAAGTTGACCCTCAGCAAGTCAAGTTACCCCTTTGTACCTCTCTCCATCCATAAGGAAGAATATCTGTGAGGGTAGGTATAGTGTAAAGCCGTCTTCCGCCTGATACGGCAGTATTGGCCATATAGTCCCAAGGAAGCTGGGATGGGTTTAGTCAGAACTTTTCAGATGCTGTGAGCCCAATATAACAGTAACATAACAGTATATCCTGGAGGATATACTGTTATTTTGAGCCCGTGGTATCATTTCCAAATAGGGTAGTATTTTAAGGACGCATACCTAGCTACGTACATTGCAAAGAGTTACACATACAATGACAATGACAGTCAAGATAAATAACAGACGAGTCTACACACATAGATACTCACTCCCGAGGGTAGCAGGTTTGCCTCCTTGATATACGTCTTCCCATGGCGAAGGCGCCGGATGATTTGAAGGTTACTGAACTTCTCAAGAAGAAAGAGGATGAGAGGGCCAACAAACCACGCCCAGAACACTGGACCGTGTAAGATTAGCAGGAACCAGAAGAGAAAGTAGCAGATCTTGTGAGTCCAGTAGAAAATCTGTTTAATATGGACACGAAATATGGCCAAAATATGAACACTGTGGAGTCATTGTAACGTCTGATAGACTTCCTAGTATGAAATAGTACGAAGGATAACAAACCAGTTGAGGTAAGATAATTACAACGTGTCATTTGAGGATACGTTAGGTGGTGCTTGTGATGAGTGTCGATGGACTCTGTCGTATTACATGCACAGGAGCTAGACCTACCTCAAAATGGCCCGACCGCCTGACGTAGCTCAGTGACCCCAAGATGAGAATCAAGAAGACAATGTCTAGGATCCATCCTGTGATGAAGGCACTTCCAACAAGCTTGCCCACTCGGAGCCCGACTGGTAGGAGGGTAGGGTTGGTGAATAACAGTTCGACTGCCGTGAAGTTCTTGTATGTCTCTAAGATCACTGTCGTAGAAACAATACAACATTGGTCGTGAAAGCTTTTCATGTGAACGATTTGGGGAGCATAACTGAGATATGTGTGCATGTAAATTGAATGCAATGGCCAATAAGAACCAACTATTCCGTATAGCACTCTGTCAGAGATTACACTAAAGCTAGCTATCGATAGATCATATAATACTGAGAATACAGCAATTACAACCATTATTCTGCCTCAAATTGATTTTTATAGAAGTATTTTTCGTCGATAAACTCTGACATAAGCACGGAAAACAAACATTTTTTTTTACCTTAGGATTAGACATCAGTTGCTCGTTCGACTAGAAAAGTTGATTGTTGTGAGCTGCTTACTGTCATGTTCACTTGGAACGTTAATGCAAGACACGATCTCCATGATAATAATCTGGCTATATCTGCACGCATTCTGCACATCAAGATATTTACTCATGGTAGTTGATGAGGAAGCATATTATCAACTGAATCCTACTAACGACGCATCGTGCTAGATTTGTCGTGGCAGGAGCCATACTACAAAGTGTTGAACATCTTCATAACCTTAAGGCTAGAAGTGTACCGGCAAACCTGGTTCACAGTTCTAAAATGCACCAGTGTACTTCAAATCAAACCATCAGTACTCACATGCATTGCCAACATGACCCAAGGTGTGTGTGAGTGCTAGGATTGCAGCTAGGTACCCGATAAATTTGTGAAACATAATGTTGTCGTCAAAGGGTAGGATTTGCATCAGCAAGGTCGACGACCTCAGAAAACTCAAAGTTTTACGAAGCATCATGAGGACGATAATGGCGCAGTTGAAGTTCAAAGCCTGACCACAACCACGAGCTAAATGAAGATGTTAAAGAAAAAAAAAGTAAAAATACAAATCCCGAACAGCTGGTTCACGTAAATAATTACTTCAAAACGCCAGCCACTGTTTACAAGTGTTGTTCACACTTGAAAACCTTACGACTATATATTTCAAAGAGCATCATACTATTATGTTGCCTTCGATTCCATAAATACTGGAAAATATTCAAAACTGAAATCAAGGACCACACCTTTGTATGTTAATAAATCAGTGTCACCGAAAATCGTATGCCTTGTTAATAACCAGGTAGAAAGATCAAAGAAAAAAAGAAGGACTGTCAAACGTTCACATCTTACCAATCAGAAAACACCAGTTAGAATCCGGGTTAAATGAATGGCGGTAGGCAGCCTCTGCAAAGAGGACACCAGTCACGACGATTATGATCAGAAGTAGTGCGATTCGTTGGATATTATTCTGCAAGTAGTTCACCCGTAACCAGGGTATACCTCTGCAACCTCGTCTCTTGGGTCGAGAGTCTTTAAGCCAAGCTGCTGCACTATATCAGAGTATACAAAAATAAAATAAAAATGTCATGTTTCACGACAATGCAATAATATGCATCTATTTATTTATTTATTCTGGCAAAAAGACAATTTATAATAACAGTCACGGTACAAAACACAAAAAATGAAGAATAGACAGAAGCTAAGGATAGCCAAAGAACGCTGTAATAAACAGCTTATTTCCATTGGGGTCCTCACAAAAAAACATTTATACAATACTAAAAAATATTAAAAAGTACACTGGTGGTTTTGACATAGATTTTTTGAAAATGTGTAAGATTTTGAAAAATAACCCACAATTTTAAAATTTAAATTGTAAAATTCGTATTTTGATGCTGGTATATTTTGGCTGCTTTTTTAACATTTCGGAGAGTATTACAACTTTTTACTTCATTGGGAAGCGAATTCCAAAAGTGTACTCCAGTGTAGAAGTGGTGCCATGTCATGAAAAATTTTATACACCTTATTCAATTTCAACTGTATTAGCCGATCATTTACATTTAAAAACCCAACCTATTGGCCAATATGAGATCTAGGACTTAGGCTTAGAATAAAACGGACAATCTTACTTTGAGTTATTTGCAACCATCTTTTTTCAGTTCAGTAGACAGTGCAGAAAATCAGGATGAGCAACAATAATCAAAATAACATGCTATGAGAGCACAACATAATAATTTAGGAGATCGCTCATTTAAACAACTTGCATATCTATATAAAAACTCATCCTTGCACTAGCCTTTTTGAATTGGCAACATTCTCACAATTTAAACTTTGATCTAGTGTAATACCCGAGTAACTTTCAAAATTTGAGAAGCTACTAATTTTCCCATCACAAATCACTTCGAATTTGTCAACTCTGCTGAGTTTCTGTTTAGATCCAAATAGAATAGTCTCAGTTTTACGGACGTGCGAAGATAGTTTATTATAAATCAGCCATTGTCTGCATGATTCCAGCATGTCATCAGCATACAACAAAAGATTACCTAAAAGACTACCCTGGGGAATACCACGTCATTTTCATTGGTTGAGAAACAACTTCGAACAATTTGTTGTCTTTTTGAGAGATAAGATTGAAACCAATCAACTAAATTGAAACGAACACCCGTGGCTTGTAATTTTCTGCATAAAATAAAATGATCCACTGTATCAAAAGCCTTTTGTAAATCCAGCAACACCGTATCAGTATAATTTTCTTTGGCAATCTGAGAACAAATGTAGTCAGTGAGTATCTGTAGAATATGAACTTCTAACCCCGACTGAAAGTCGGGGATGCTCTGTGTGTACGGCTAATAAATACGTCGAAAAAACCTTTAATCTTACCCGATTGAGAAATTTTCCAGCAGATCTGGGTACCGCTTAAGTGCTGTCATGAACTCATCAAATGAGATGGAGCCATCGCTGTTTTGGTCTGCAGTGTTAAACAGCGTTTCCGTTAGATGATCTACTTTCCCATCACTGAGTTGCAACGAACTCTCCTCCACTCCCGTCTTCAACAGAGCTCGCAGCTCGTTTTTCTCGATGGTTCCATTTTCTAGGAGACACAACAAGAATCCATGTCTTCATTTCTTGCTATCTGTGTTTCATACCAGCATTGTACTCTTGGCATTTAATAGTCATTGTATGGAGTTGAAGCTTCGAAAGTTCCCTTGTTACATGCAGTAGTTCGGAAGCTCAGAGCAGGGAACAGACGAGGGCTGGGCAAATACATTCCACCCTGTTTGGGGCACTTTTTCTTAAATAAATGGTAACATTTCTCGGTTGGGTAAAACGATATGTTGAACAACATTGGCTGAGTGAAGATTTCATTTCGTTGGTCAACTGTTTTACTTGGTATTTATTTTACGGGTTAAGAAAACTACTATCGCTTTAAGGAAATGAACGCTTTTCTTAAGTTGTTGGGAACTCTTACGTGATAGATGTTGCATTTTGCTCATCGAGAATGCGTTTCATATTATTACTCATATCGGCTCGTCGTACTACACGTTGGATATGTCGGGGGGGGGATTTGCTGAAAGAGGGAAAGCGTTAAAGCTGTGTGGCACAATCTTGGGTAAGAAAACAGTTTTCGTAACTCTTACATAAATTAAGTTATGATAAACTTTAATACTACTTAAGAATAATCATGACACGGAATCGTGTTTCTCAATATTGCCCCTGCCTGTGCACATTTGTGCCTGCCTTCTTTGAGAGGTACATTTACTCTCAAACAGGCATTCACAGGAAAGCCCTACTTTGAGTGTCCCGGGGATATCTTGACCTTCAAGTATTTAAGAGCTTAATCATCATGTAAATGTGCACAAAGACTACCACCGTTTCTGGTAGATTAGAACGAAGTTTGTGCGAATTTTGTGTACATGATTGAATTAGGGCACCTGCATTTTTCCCCATTAAAACTGACAATTACTAGTGGAAAAACGTGAATTGAATGACATTTGTTGGTAAAATAGGATACGTTTAATGATATTCAGGAATAGCTTCATATGTATGAGAACTTATGGCTCACTGACGTGAAAATCAATGATGCATTATATTACATGTAACTTTGCTTTTATTGGTTCGGTCTCTAAATAGTGTAATTAATCATTTTATTTAAATCATATCGCGTCGAGTCAGTAGGGGATCCCTGAGATAAAGCACAAAAGTTCAACCATAACATAAACATGTAAAAGTCAACAAAGTTCAAAATGTATAAAATATTACAATACACTTGACTTTTTTCTTTCTGTTGCAAGAGAGTGAAGTCATCAATACTGGTACTTTTCAGATGCGCCAGACAGGCTTTGCCTTTATATTCTCATCATCTCTAATAATCGTTTTAAAATCAGCCCACAAATGAAAGTTATGTATTTATGTTTTCCACAACAGCATTATTGGCAAATTTAGATTTAGATATCCTTCAAATGAAAGGCTGGATTATTTTTCAGTATTCCTTGGGAAAAAAACATAGTATTCTTGTTACTTTCTCTTCAATTGTAATATCTAATACAACTCGAAACTCATTGGAAATGATCATAATACATTATTTGTTTGACGTGTTTTACTTAAAGTAAGCCAGTATGGCTGCAAGTGATCTAAACAAAAGTTAAAGTAATTGTACAGTTTTTTCAACCTTCAACAGGTCAGAGTTTCAAGATGTTTTAATTTTACTGTTTGATTAAGTTTGTAATAAAACAAACAATGAGCGCAAGGAGGGCTTGAAAGAATCCATTTACTCAACCAAATGCCCCAAAATGAAGCAGTGTAGTGCCTAACACCAGGATCTTCTTAAAATCCAACAGTTGCGAAACAAGTACCCAACACATTGTCTAATAATATCCAGTTTTTGGTTGAGGGCTTACTAACGACCGATTGTTTATATTTACCCAGCTGATAGTTCATTTAAAAGTGTTCAAATGTTCAGTTCTAATCTTAATCCAATTTCTAAGTGAAAAAGGCTTGCCCATCTTGGTTGGGTAGTTTTTTACTCAAACGATGTGGTAGTTTACGACTGTGCCAACCTTGGGTAAAACGTTGAGCAAAATTGTGTCATTATGTCTTGCAGTGTGCGTATGCAGTCACGTATTTAATGCAGACCTTTAAGGCCAACTATGGAATGTCTCAGTACCATTCTGTCGGTCTTTTAAATTGGGCAAAATGTTGCCAGTTTGATTTTGAAAAAAATCAGCTGTCGTTTCCTTTTATTGTGCTTAATCTAAAAGTCGACCTTTGGCAGAATTAAAAAACACTAAAACCTAAATTTTAAACGACGAGATCGCATTACAGCTGTAACTTCTAGTTCACTCATTAAGTTAGTGCTCAAGTTCATGCCAAAATTGAAAGCAGTGTGTAATGAAGTAGTGGATTCTGATAGATAAATTAATTTTGGATTTTTGCCCGGCCTGACGTGTATTTGAACAATGTATACTCAGTGTTTCCCCCCGAAGGCTTATGAAGGATCACAAGCGTACTCGGGTGGGACTCGAGGCCACGACCTCCTGCATGCAGTGTATACAGTATTAAAATACACGTTGGGCAAAAATCCAAATTAATTTACATCTCCCCGGCGTAAGTCTATCTTTGAAATAGTTATTCTGATAGATAGTCACAGGTTGGCACAGTCTTTTTTCCTTCGTCCTCCACTTTTTGTGAAGTGGGTTCAAATCCCACCGAGTTCCACGTGTGGATCAGGCTTTGAGTCCTAACCTGACTCTGTAAAGAGAATCATCAATAGCGTAGGCAATGAATGCAAAGGAATGGCTATTTTAGAGGTAAAATCAGGACATTCAAAAGCAGTTAATAGCCTGCAAATGCTAAATAGGGAGATTCAAAGAGATCATATGATTTCCAACCAAATGATAAAAATACATGTAGATGTTGAAAGCATTGAAGACTATGTTACAGACTTAATGTACTTCATCTTGCCAGCTTCTTCACATCTTCCTTGCGCAACTAAACGAAACCAAACTTTTATTTCGTTAAAGGGTAAAAAAGCCTGGTAAGGCTTTTTTTTTCTTTGTCTTTCTTTCTCTAAGTGAGTTTACCCTGGCCTCTGAGATAAACAATGGCGTATCTCGGTGGCGGGGGGGGGCGTATACACGTATTTGTGACAATTTTTGAAAGCCTTAAGACTAGGAACAAATGGAAAGGTTTTGACAGGTAGAAAAATTCGGATAATCATTTTAGGGGCAAACATATCCACTTCCCCATTCCATGACAAACAATTGTTAAGCCGCTGGGGTTATGAATCTGCGCTTCAAAGGAGCCATTTATGTCATTCAATTTGAGAAATGGACATTAAGACTGCATTGTGCTGATTTAGAATCCTAGTTGTTGTTGATCATGCTGGTAAAAATAACACAACCCATGAATTTGCAATTTACCAATCATAAAACACCGTTCTTCCTACGATATTGAATGTGCTTAATAACATGCTGAACAAACGGTTTTAAACTCATTAATCGATGTACATGTAAACGGAGCCATGATGGCAAAGGGTCATGCATGATAGCCTTTAATGCAATATTCACAACCCACAATGCAAAACCAGAAGCGTTATTTATTCATCATCTACCACGTGTCCAAAACAAAACGCAATCCAAAAGTAGCAGATTTTTTTTCCAAAACAAGGTACATAAATTGCTGGTTTGGGGATGGATCTCATACACAACACTTCTGAGCTTTTTAATTTGCGTTTTTGGGACACTCTAAAACAGGGTTCCAACGATTTTATTGAGTCCTGGCATTAGCAATAAAATTAAACTGTCGGTTTAGTCTGTAAACTTTATTCAGCGATTTATGTTTCCGTTTTCATGATCTGATAATGGAATAGGTTCTGACCTCTGGAAAGAAAAAGGAAAAGAAATCAGAAACGTAATTTTGTTATCAGAAGCAATAAAAAACGTGTCTTGTTAGAAACATGTTATGCGTACTTAATTGAAACTGAAACCCTGGAAAAGTTAGTTTGGCCTTACCGTCTAAGTCGTAGACGTCAAAGAAGAACCGGAGTTTTTCCTCTTTGGTTCCCTTGGTAAGAAGGAAAAGACCGTCCATCATTTCCCGCTGGGAAACCGTCCCACTGTGATCATTGTCCAACAAATCAAAGAACCGGTCGGCGAAAAATACCTGCCGTTGTCAGACGAAAGAGGAATTAAAGAAATTTTAAAAGAGGTCTTCCAAATCTAAAGTAACTAATGAGCACTGACTTCCAAACCTTAAAGTGCACTTTTAAGCCACTTTATATGGATTCTATGTTTGAATTAAGAACTGATTGAACTGTAAAACATGAGGGGAAACAGAAGGAAATGGTATTATCTCGGGAGAACCCAAAAAAATTGTGGACCACTAAAATAGCCGACTTCATTATTTTGCGTATATTTCCATTGTTTAGTTAATGTTTGTCCAAAGTCAGCAGATTTTAAAAGCTACGTCCAATCCCAACAATTTCCCGGTGCACGTGGTTTTAGATTTTAGCCTAATATCAAAACAAACAAATGAAGTTACTAACATTTCGTACGTCCAAAGCATTCTTGAAGCTCTCCCGGTCCATGTCCGTGTCTTTGCCCGCGATAGACGCAAAGCGTGACTCGGCCCACACCAACCACTTTGCGTCGGCGTCCAAAACATTTCTATGATAATAAAGATGAAAGATTTAACCAGCAGTGGCTACAAGAAATCATCAAAATCACGGGCAGCTGGGGAGAATCCAGGATTTTTCCGGGGGGAGAGGTGCGGGACCTCTGATTTGTTTTATGTGTGCACGCACGGGTAATGTATTACATTATTTACTCATGTACAAATAATAATCCTTACAAGATGTCATCTCTTTTTTTTATTATTGATAAGAATAAAGGTTGTTTGCAGATCAACGTATACAACTTTTATCAGTTATAGCGTTACGTTGTAGACACAGATCTTTCTTAAAAAAAAATCTCACATTGAAATTAGGAATAAGTCTCAAATTGATTTTTTGAGATACGTACATGGTCAGAAAGAGTATGTCATAAGCTTTCAAATGGTACATATTACAAGTGTGTTGATGGTAACCTTTCAAAAAATATACAGAAATCGCCACATCTATTTCTTCAACATTTACCCACATTCCATCTTATTTACTCGGCGTCAGCAACTTATTCCTGCTTACGATGTACCGGGTCACAAACGTTTTCTTTGTTGGAAGCCTCCATTTGATGGTTCTTACCCAAACCTTCCAGATTAGATTTGGACGGCGAATTAAAATCTACAGCAGTTTCAAGTTTTATTGTTTCATGTATTACCTGTTTTTATCGCAAGGGGCATGATATCACGAACAACATATAACGTATGTAAACCCTCTACGTGTCCCAATTAATCTTTCTCCTCGAAAGGCAGCCTTAATGAAGTGGAATCAGACTAAACTGAAACGGCGTTTTCGAATCCGTAATGGCCAACTGAAGGAGCTTGCAAGAAAGGAGTTCATCCGCTAACCGTGTTTAAGTTGAAGATGGTCTGAAAATACCTCACCCCTTAATATTTATCTACAACATGATCGTAGATGTTTGTGATACATTTCACAGTTTCTAGAAAAATGAGCTTCAAAGGTTTTCTGAAAAGTTTTCAAATCAACTTGGGGGAAATCTTTTCGCTAGAGTAACAAATATTAAGTGTAAATTTCCATTGTTTGGTTTTCAATGACATTCATCAGGCTGAGCAAATCCGTACAAGTAAAGTACATTGGATTGACCTGAGCAGCAAGTACGTTTGCATTTGTTTACAAGTTATTTTATCATACTGGCAATTGGCTTTATTGTTTCGTCTGATAAGAATATTTCAGTGTGTGGAAAAGGAGAATAATTTAATGATTCAAAATACCAATGGTGTACCTTGAAAGTCAAAAGCAAACGTTCAATACAAGAAAAAGATGAACAAATGTTGCTTGGTCATTGAAGAGAAAAATACACACGACCTCAACGCTCCTCGGCGGCAAGGTTTACAAAGTATGGAAAAAAGCGTGGCCTCAACTCTAACACCGCAGCTGTACAACTAGGTGCTTGTGTTCCTTTATTATAATGGCATGCACCCGACTGGAACGCGCTCAAAAAGGATTTGGAATGACCGTCAAACCTGTCTAGGATTCATTGTTGCGGACGTGTGGACAAAAAAGGCCCGCAGGCAGTAGCTTAGCAGCATCGAGGCCAAGGGTTTCAAAGGCTGCATCTTGCATCCATAACTACATGCATATCGCTGTATGATTACAGGAACGTTTCAAACATTGTAGCAGTCATTCAATTTGTTTGTATACCCTACGTAACCAACGTGTCCAAATGCCATGAACTGAGATTCTTTTTCAGTCATTTCATTCACGATTGATCCTGTATTGAGGCAAAAGAGAAACACATTTTCCAAATGACTAAAAACTTCACAAGGATTCTTAAGTTACATAATTAACTATTTAAGGTTCATTTTGAATGTTAAGCTTGGTAGAACTGATCTACAAGTCTCACCTTACTTGATTCCAATGTCTAGATTAATTCTGAACTTTCAATGCTAAATTCCTAATTCTAAAGCCCGCAAGGCCAGTTCGGTTCGTCACCATGTGGACCTAACCTTGAGGTTACTTTCTGTTGTGTCCATTGTGGAAAGGCGGACTTCATAGGCAAAACGCTGTATCTCTAAGGTAGATAGACCGTTAGTTTGTTACAAATTTAGTTGAAGTCCGGCTAATAAGTTGAGAATAAAACATACTTTCTAAAAGTGACATCATTTTCCCCTTTGTTACTCCTCAAGAGGGGGTCTGTTTTTTTAAAGGTCGGTAGTTATTTGGGAATGACAATAGAGATTTACGAAATGAAGGCAACATTTTGACAGCTTTTTCACGAAAGGACGAATTTGGTCACAGGGCGTTAAACGGGTGGTTTTGGGAAGTCGACCTGAAATTGGTCACTTTTGAAATAAACTGTTCGCCTTTTTAAAGTACATGCTGACTACTTTCTGATACAGATAGTAAGCTGGGATCTCAATTCTAAAATAAACCAATTACAGAATAATGGAAAATTAATTGCGGAGTAAAAAACGACCTTAGAAATGTTGCCTATTCGTGAAAACTCATAATCCCATCTTCCTCTTTGGCGCTGTTTTTCTAATATTCACACCCACAATTTGTCCCTTCGTGAAAACTCAATTTGTCAATATCCATAGCACATTAACTTCATCTGTTCATGAGAAATCAAGTTCTAATGTGCATTTGTTTTGAAGAGGCAGTTCCTCATTATCCATGACGTACGAAATTCGTCACTTCTTAAAAACACAAAAGCCCTTTAGCCGTGTTTTGCCCATGTTGGAGTAATTTTATCTCTTCTTTGAATAATAAGACTTGAAGGTTTTCATAGTGAAAGAAACTAGAAGAGTGAAATGATTGCGGTTGCACCATGCATCAATCTCTTTCTCGAGTATGTGTGGTTCTGAGAAGAACCGGGAATAACTCGACGTTTCGAACAGTGTACTCTGTCCGTCTTCAGGAAACTGCAGGATTCTGACTGGGTGTGGAGCTTGTATGGTGTAGAGAGGGATCCAGATGTAGGGATTAGCTTGGTGAAGCGTTGAGCTAATCCTTCTCTTCTCTACACCTACAAGTTATTCCCCGGTTCTTCTCAGAACCACACCTACGCATGAAAGAGATTGATACATGGTGCAACCGCAATCATTTTACTCTTCCATCTTCGATTAACTTTATAATCAGAATACTCAGCTCAGCAGATAGAGGCATTAAAAATACCATCCCGTGCAATCTTCCCCCGAGCATTTATGCTCGTATTTGACTCTCCATTAGAATCAAAAGGTGCCACTCAATGATTCAATGATATGGGCAATGTAAAAACAATTCTCAAGGTCTTACGACAGTCTCGTACTGAAGGCCCTTGACTTTAATCCTGGTTTACTTGGAAGGTCGATGAGATGAAATTGTTACAGACATATTTTATGCAGCTTAATACCCTTCTTCAATGTAGGGAACTACTTCGACATTCGTTTGTGTAACGAACTGAAAAGGGCACATTTCAAGACATTTAAATGCAAACGCTTCTTTACCAAACAAGAAGCACTGTCTCGGCTAAATTTGAAGGGTTTTCTGGCCAAATTGTGAACCTGAATTTGTACCTTGAAAGATTTTTAAAGAAATGGTTGTTCACTGGCCCATTGAAATATACTCAGACAAAGAATACGGAATTATGAGAAGCGAAAATTCCAGCTGTTTTATGCACAAATCAATGTATATTTGAGCTTTTCTCCCTGGAATGTCATAAATTTTTTGAAGTGCTCTTCAACAAAAAATGCACTGGATAATTTTAACAATAAAAAAGGAAAACAACGCTTCTTGAAACACATAAGTTCATTTCCAAGACTGCAGTATTAAAAAACATGCATGCATAGACCCTTTGGGTCATATGTAAAAGTACAGCGTTCTAATTGCAAATTGGTACCCAAACCTCCACCTAAAGTCCTCAAAGGAATATTATATTCTTGCACACCTACCTTCGCCACTTTGGTGTCCTTCCTCTTGAAATACTAATTTTATTGAAGCGACCCTGCTGTGTATTTGGATCCATGGAGCAAGATTTACAGACACACCAAAGTACACTGACAGTTAACTGACGAGCGATCCAGTTTGTTCACTTTTAGAGTTTTGTCATAGCCAACACGTCTAAGTCCCCTTTTATAAGCTGGTTCTGGACCATTCTCCACGCCTCACTGCTCTCATAGAAATTCGGGGTCACAGGATTTGCACCAAACGGTGCAGCGTGTGTCTTACTACGATTCCAAAATTTTGGATGACAAAAACTGGAGCAATCCATTAGTTTCATCAGGTAAACACTTTGTCAGTAGCTTTCATTTTTTATTAATTGACATCAATAACCCTAAATGTTCACACTTGTAATTTCACGAGAAAAGATTTGAATACATGAAAAGTGACAAGATATTAGTCAGGATAATCAGTGAGTTTAACGAACCGAGTTAACGAAAACACATTCATTTAAGGCCCGCTTCAAACGTCGAACTTCTGCCATGTCTAATTAAAAATTAGACGTGTGAGGCAACTGCCTGCTTTCTGCCGAAAGTTCCACAGGTCTTGCAGCTTTTAACGGCAGAAGAGCGGTACGGATTCAAACGTCGAATTTCTGCCGTGTCTAAAATTCAATTTAAACGACCCAACTCGGAACATCATCAGGCCATTTTAAAGTGCCCATGCGCCCACAACAGCTGTTTTCGTTTCGGTGTTAAAACAAGATGGAGGTGCACCAACGTCTGTCATTTCTGCAACAATATAATTGTAGTCACCTCTGGCCAGTCTGTAATGACAAAATCCTAACCTGTGCCTTGGAAATATGGGGATTTCCGTCACTGTGTTCCGCCCCAAATCATGTTTTATGTGTGACAGGATGAATTCAAAGGTTCCTTTTAAAACACGAAATGCTCTTCTGAATCTTTAGTCAAAGTTCGTATTTAGCATCAATTCCAGCAAACCTGTATTCTTGACCAACCGTCGACAAGACCGGGTCTTGTTACATTTTCCCTGGAAAAGAGGAGTAAGCAGGACAAGTGAACATACGATTACAACTCTCCTTGTTGCAATAACATTGAGTAGTACTAGTAG